TATTAAAATATAGCGTCAACTTTGCTCGTCCAGATAGTTCTATGCTGTCCAAAATGAATTCCAAATAACATTGTGGTTGGTGAGATGCTTTTAAGACTTTCTCCTAGCTAAGAGAGACCCTTAGGTTGTTAGTTTAAAGCAGATTCTAGCCTCTCATCTTTCAATGGAAAAGCCCAAGGATTTTTCTGATGTTAATATAAAATATTAAAAGCACAGTTTGGTTTGGGATCTTTGGCTAGCATCCTTGTGAATAAATTTACCTTTTCTTTGGGTTTCCTGGCAACTTAGTCTCTTACAGTTGGGAGTAGGGATGAGGCCCATTAGTGACAATGGATTTTGTTTTTCAAAAACACATTTCATGCTATTCTCCCCTCCTCCCCACCAGGAACTAAGCATAGATCACTGCAAACCACTACAATGGAGGATAGAATTTTGGATTAAAAAGAGACTGGGTAGTCAAGCCCCTCATTTTATGTATAAGAAAACCAAATGTCAGAGAAATCAAATGACTTGCCCAGGGTCACACAGCTAGTCAGTTCTAGCTAAAGCTAGAATCTAAGCCTCTTGGTTCCGAATCCAGTTTTCTTTTTACTATAGCTGCCTGCTTTTCTGTATGCCCATTAGGTGCAAAAACATTGGTCATGGTGCTCTAAGGGTTGTAAAATAGCATAAGCTCTTTGTCCCCAGAAAACTTACAGTCTAGTTCAGGAGACAAGGTGAATATACATCTATGAAAAATTAACTACCAAGTATTTGGGTAGTGTGCCAAATGCACAATATAGAGGATGTGCCATAGAACTTCAGAGGAGGGAGCTATCCCTGTGAGCAGCGTGGTTATCATTGTATGCAGAGTGGGGCGACCAGGTCTTTGCCCTTAGAACTCAAATCCAGAAGGTGCAGAGAAGACTTTCAGTATTTCAGCATTGTGGAAACAAAAGAACTTACTGAGCAAGGAGCATTTGTTAAAATAGGAAGCTACCAGATGCTTCTTCTGAGCAGCCACTTCCTCTTTCACCATTGTTCCATGACAGCCTCCCCAGCAACAACAGCCCCACAGTGTCCTGGTTGAAAAAGTTGATGTGAGGGCACGCTTCATGTCCATTGCCCTCAGAGCTGTTCATGTTGTTCCTGAAACAATTGCTAGTTACAGCTGTGGTGGTCAGGGATGGGGATTAACCAATACACATCACATAAACACAGAATAGATGTGTTTGCACATTGCATGGATATACCCTAAGTCACCTTCTTTTCATTGTCAAAGTGTCTACTTGCAGTGATTGAGAACCTGAATGACTGAATCATAGAATATGGTAGGGACCTAAAAGATCATCTAATCCTCAACTAACATATTGGTTACTGTAGCTCCCTGCATATTTTTCCTTTGTGGATTTCACTCAATCCCTTTCAAAATGCGTATGTGTGTTTTTTTAAAGTAGTACACTACTTTCAAAGAGTTGTGAAAGAAAAAAAAACCCTATATCTTTTGATTCATTATATATTGAGTAGATCAGAGGCTGGAGCCAGCTCATGCTGTGAGGACAAAGTGTTAAATCTTCAGTGTGAGCATATGCATCTGAAAAATCAACAAACACTACAAATCATGGCTTGATTTATTTTGTTGTTGATTGTCTAGACTTAATAAAGTGATGAAGAAAATAATAATAATGCAGATTAAACTTACGAGTGTGTCTTGTATACATTTTTTCCAGACAGCTAGTTGTTAAACATTTATCAGCAAACCAGTGGTTTCAATGTTCTTATTTGTGAAATGAGGAGTTGGAATATAGTGATCTATAAACTAGAGAAGGAAACAGCAAACCACTCCAGTATCTTTGCCAAGAAAACCCCAAATTGGGTCAAGAAAAGTCAGACATGACTGAAATGACTGAATAATGTTAATAACAAAAAAAGGTCCCATCCAGTTCTAAATCTATAATCTTTCCCCACAGCCAGCTGGAATTCGGGGAACTCTGTTAAAGGAGAAGAGATAACAGCTAGAAAATAGTATGGTCTCCTAAGACACAAGTGTCAAACAAGTTATGTCAATTCCCAATGCCTCCATCAGATTAAAATACAATTGGGAAATTTTTAATAAAATAAATAAAAATACAATAGAAAACAATGTTAATATGTGGTTTTCTAAGTCAACATGCAGCCCACAGGGAGCCTTAAATACAGTTAAGTGGCCCCTGCTTCAATTTGAGTTCGACCCCACTGACCTAGGAGCCACGTCTGGACTTTGCAGTAAAATTTATGAGTTTGGAAGAGTTGCTTCTTTCTTCATCTACAAAATGAAAAAGTGAGGTTCCGTCCTTCAGCTCTGAAACCAAGACAAGCCTCACCTCCAGTGGTGTTGTAAGCTGTATTACCTTTAGCTCTTTGCCCTAGGACTATGGCTCTGGAGTCATTCACACGGATATTAAAGTCACCCAGAACCCCAAGTCAGATACAATGGCTTTGAGAAAGGTGGAAGGGGACCCCAGAGATCAAGAGATGACAGAAATGAGGATAGAGGAAGAATGTTACCAACAGATGGCATGGACTTTCACATCTTTTGCTATTTCTTCTTTAAATGGTAGCCCCAAACTATAGACCTATCACAGGGAACCCAGAGGAAAAATAGCAATAGGTTAGCTCTCTCAGGTTTGGACATTTAACTGAAGCAAATGATAAGGGCATTAGAGACAGAAAGGTTGCTGAGCAGTAGCTGGGCTTTTTATTTGTGTTAACAGAACAATTAAACCTTTGGATCTATCCCTTTATAGGCAGATTAAGAAGACTTTAGGGGATCTGTTCATACCTGTCACCAAGCATTTGAATTTCACACTGCAAAAACTCTTTAGATTTATAGTCTCCCTATCTGCAAGACATTCTTGTTTTAATAGTAGAGTTATGTGTAGTCCCAATACCATCAAGATTAAATAGGAGAGAATTTCTGGCACAAAATTTTGTTAATGTCAGGACAAAGCATAAAACCTAGGTGTGATAAATTGACATTTGTCTCAAGACACAGACATACTGATTTACACAGGGCAAAATTATCCTTGAACCGCACACCTGGGCATCATCGGACTCTGCCTTCAAAGTGGCAATTTTTATATTTATATTCAACAGCAGTGAACCCTGAGGAGAGCCATCTGGCACTGAAAGTGCAGAATAGGCCCAGGATGGAGAATATTTATATGATGCAAAGATCAATAACCCTGAAAACAATGAGAATGGAAAAGAAAAAAAATACATCACATTCCCTCACCCCCATTCCTGTTTTGGCACAACCAACGCACTGCTTCCTCACCTCTGTCTCTGTCATCTTTTTGGGTGCATTATGTACTTTTACCCTTTTAATGCATGCTCTATTCCTTGAGCTAGCTTAGTTTTTTTATAGGTGCTAAATTCTTGTTATAAGCAATATTAGCCTTTAGAGAAAACTCTTGGAGCAGAGATACCAGTATCTCTACCTAGGTCACCATCACCCCACCTCTCACCTCCCTAAACTCTAATGTCTGCTGTTACCTTCGGCAGCTAAGTGGCACAGTGGACAGAGTGCCAGGCTTAGAGTCAGGAAGACTCATCTCCTTGAGTTAAAATATGGCCTCAGACACTTACTAGCTGTGACCCTGGGCAAGTCACTTTAGTGCTGTTTGCCTCAGCATCCTCCTCTGTAAAATGAGCTGGAGAAGGAAATGGCCAACTACTCCAGTATCTTTGCCAAGAAAACCCCAAATGAGGTCATGAAGAGCTGAATATGACTGACCAACAATAATATCTGTTACCTCCAGGATTAAAAAGAAAATCCTCTGGCATTTAAATCCTTTCATAACCTGGTCCCTTCCTACCTTTTCTGTCTTCTTATACTTTACTCCCTTCCACATACTCTACAGTCCTGATGTACTGGCCTCCCTGCTGTTTCTTGGAACCCAATACGGAATTTCTCACCTTTACACTGGCTGCCCCTCCTTCCTGGAATGCTCACCCTCCTTACTTCAGCCTCTGGTTTCTCTGGTTTTCTTCAAGATTAACTCAAGTCCCACCTTCTGGAGGAGGTATTTCCTGGTCCTTCCAGCTGCCAAAACCTTCCCCTCTAACTTATATACACCTACTTATTTACATGTTATCTCTCCCACTAGAACGTAAGGTCCTTGTGGACAGGGACTGTTTTTAGAATTTGGGGAACAGGGAATTACCTCTTTTATATCCCCAGTGCTTAGCATAGTGCCTAATGTATAGTAAGTATTTAATATATAGTTATTGACTGTCTCTATGAGCGAAAGTAGATATTCCACACTGGATGCAGTAATTGGCCCATGATAATAGATGTCGTTACATGAGGATGTCTATTATAAATCTGTGACAACCTATCTATTATAAGATATCACCAGCTGACACCAAACACAGACTATCAGGACAGGAAAACCAGTAATTCATAGGTGTGGAGAGCTTTAAAACTAAAAAAGATTTTATAGGTCATTGAGACATCTGCATTTTGCTGTTGTTGAGTTGTGTGAGACTCTTTCTTGGCAGAGATACTGGAGTGGTTTGCCGTTTCCTTCTCTGGCTCATTTTACAGATGAGGAAACTGAGGCAAACAGGATTCAGTGACTTGCCCAAGGTCACACAGCTAGTAAGTGTCTGAGGCCAGATATGAACTCAGGTCTTCCTGACTCCAGGCCTGGTGCTCTCTATCCGCTGCACCACCTAGCTGCCCCATATTTTACAGATAAGAAAACTGAGTTCAAGAGTTTCAATGGCTTGCCTAAGGTCACTCAACTGATTAATGGGGCAGTTGGAACCTTCTAGCCAAGCCTCATGGTTCTCACTCTACAGTACTTTCCATTCAGAATTTTTCACCACTTGATTTGGGCCCAGCTGAAGTTACGCTCTGCATTACTATGCAAAGAAAACAACTCAACACTGCTAATAGAGCAGGAGGAAGATGTTTAACCCACTTAGGAGAACAAACTATCTTTAAGACAGTATATATGCAGAAGGAAGTTGCTAATTACCTCTTCATGAAAGTGGGCCCAGCAGAAACTCTATTTATATACATTTTGTTAGCATTCAATTTATAGTAGGTACTTCTGTGATTAAAAAAATTATTTTTAAAGCCTTAATTTTTGTTTAAAGAAGTAACCAGACTACCAGTTGAGCAAACAGAAGAAACATCTGATCCTGCCTGTGACAGTTAACAAGGAAGCGCTTGATATAAAATCAGGAATAGCCCAAATTTGAGTGTCAAATGGCAAATCACTGAGAAAGGGAAAAATGATCTTACTATGAGAGAGGGCCTGAGTTCAAATCTTGGATCTGCTATTTACTATGGGAATTAAGGTAAGCATTTCACTTCTCTGTTTTCCCATTTATAAAATGAAGGGGATGGACTAGATCATCTCTAAGGTTTCCTCCAGCTAGAAATCTATGATCCCCTAAAATAATATTGGACTTAAAGTCAGAAGAGACTTGGTTTCAAATCCTTTGTCTAATATTTATTAGTTACATGACTATGGGCAAGTCATTTAACCTTTCCTAGACCTACATATAGATTCCTGAATATGTGACTCACTATTAGAAAACCTGAGTCATCCTTTAGGAGCATAAAATTTAGCAATAGAAGGGACAATAGAGATCATCTTGTCCAATCTTCTTATTTTATGGTTATAATAGAAAATAAGATGTAGGGGGTTTGACTCTTGGTAATGTTGCTAAAGGCTCAGACTTATGGTTGTGGTAGAGAAGATCATCAGATGGGAAACATGGTTATTCCAGGTGAGTTAAACGTGGCATTCTAATTAAGCCTAGGGAAATCAGGATTAGGTTAAGTATCAATAGATGAAAGTCAAGGATTACTAAGATTGTGCCCAATTTTGGGGCATTTATATTTCTTTAAATTTCTTTAAATCTTGTTCTAATTGGTATCATCTATATATTGACTGTTATTGGTAATAATCATTAATGTCTCTGATGAGCTAGAGCCAGCTCAAACAAGCTCAAGAGAGATGATTGTTAAATTTTCAAAGTGAGCATTTAAACCTCAGAAACTGACAAATGCTAAAAAGTAGGGCTTGATTTCTTGATTGTCTAGATTTAAGAAAGTGATGAAGTAAATGTTAATAATGCAAATTAAATTTAAAAGAGTCTCATGCATTTTCAGAGAGCTTTTACCAGCACACCTCTAGATGCATGCCACCTTACACATACCACCCTACCCACCTTTCCAGCTAGTCAGCCAGTAAGCATTTATTAAGTGCTTACTATGTGCCAGTCACTGTGCTAAACACAGAAAAAGGCAAAAAGGCAATAAAAAAAGTCCCTGGCCTTAAGTAGTTCACATTTTAATAGGGGAGGCAATATGCAAGATTTATACATATAAGAAATGTACAGTATAATTAGAAAGCAATCTTACAGGGAAGGTACTGCAGTTGAAGGGTAGAGGGGATAAGGAGAGACCAGGAAAGGCTTACTACAGAGGCTAAAATTTAGACTGAGACTTTAAAGAAGCCAGGAAAGCCAGGAGACAGAGGTTAGGAGAGAGAGCATTTCAAGCATGGAGGAAAGCCAATGAAAAGGTAGTGTCATACAGTGTTTGAAGCAAGAAGGCCAGTGTCACTGGATTGTAGAGTACATGGAAGGGTATAACATGTAGGAAAACTGAAAATGTAAGAAGGGACTAGGTTGTGAAGATCTTTAAAAGTCATAGAGGATTTTATATTTGATTCAAGAGATAATAGTGGGGCAGGTAGGTGGCACAGTAGATAGAGCACTGGCCCTGGATTCAGGAGGACCTGAGTTCAAATCTGACCTCAGACACATAACACTTACTAGCTGTGTGACCCTGGGCGAGTCACTTAACCCCATTGCCTAAAAAAAAAAGAGAGAGAGAGAGAGAGATAATAGGGAGCCACTGAACTTTACCGAGTATGGGGTGTATGTGAAATGGTAAGACCTGTGCTTTAGGAAAATCACTTTGGCAGTTTAGTAGAGAATGGATTGTAGTGGGGAGAGATCTGAGACATAGAAAACAACCAGAAAATTATCACAGTAGTTCAGACATAAGAGCCTTCACCAGGGCAACGGCTATATGAAGAAATGTGAAAGTAAAAACAATAGGACTTGAAATAGAATACATATGTGGGTGAAGAGTCAAGGACACCAAGGTCAACAGTCTGGGTGACTGGTAGGATAGTGGTGCCCTTGAAAGTAATAGAGAAGTTTGGAAGAGGGGAAGGTTCGATGGGGGAAAGATAATGAGTTCTGTTTTGGGCGTCTTGAATTTCAGATATCTATGGGACATCCAGTTTAAAATGTCTAAGAGGCCATTGTTGATTCAGGACTATAGCTCAGGAGAGAGGTTAGGGCTGGATATAGATCTGAGAATCATCTGCACAGAGATGATAATTGAATCTGTCTCACATGATGGGGGGACCATCTCCAGGCATCCTGATCTATATCTTTTCACTGGACCCAGATGGCTCCAGAGGAGAAAGTGAGGCTGGTGACTTTGCACAGCCCTACCTCACTCAAATCTAATTCATTTGCAAGTCATGGCATCACCTTCCTGATGTCATGGTCTTCTTCGAGAATGAAGGACAAACAATAACCTCTTCATGTGAAACAGAGGGTAAAGGAGATAGTTGGGAGAGATATATATGAATGGGGTGAGATGAGGAGGAAGGGGGTGAACTTTTTCAGTGAAAAAAAGGGGAAGGTCTTCATCTGAGAGGATGGAAAGAGGAGGTGCCATGGGAGACTTCAGAAGCGATAAAAAAAAGTTTGGAATAGCCTCTGCAGTAAGTAAAATACAAAACTGATTAGGGAAATACAAAAGGATTGCCTTTCTGCAGTGAGGGTCCAATTGATATTACGTAATATAAATTTGTTCACAGACCAAGTCACCATGCTTTCGCGATTTTCTCCAATTCTGTTCAGCAATATGTGAATAGGAGTGAAAAAGGTAGATGATGGTCAAATGACCAAACCTGAAAGCTATAAAACCTAATTTTTTACAAAAAATTCCATAATTCAGACCGTTCACTTGTTCAGACTATTTTTTCTTTCCCAGTAAGTCAATAATATTAACGAATTTTGAACATAGAGTACTGTCGTTTTCTCCCCTACCTCCCTTGGTCTTTCTAATTTCCAGTATTTCATTAGAATTAATCCTGTTTTCATTTGACTTTTGACATAGTTTCTCTTCCTCTTTTTAAAAAGAAATACCTTGTTTTTCTTGCCATCTTATTCTATTCTTATCTTCTTGCTTTCATTTTGCCACCCAGTTATATTTGCTACCTCAAACTGCTGCTCCATTTCATACTGTTTCTCACTTTGCTATACCTCATAGTACTTTAGATTGTCAATGACAATTTGGTTAAGTAGAAATGAAAGAACGACAAGTAGACATGGTCCGTTATGAAAGTAGAAGTTCTGTGCTGATGAAGACCACTCCTAGAAAGCCTCCTCATTTTTCTTGTTTCTTCCCCTTATCTACCTTCCTTCTCTAACTTAAACCCCAGGAACATTTGACTAGATTCTCCCTCCTTTCCTGCCACTGCTAATTCACTCTTCTGTAATGCACCAGACTTAGATGTCATCATTTCATGTGACCTTGAGCAAGCCTCCTAACTAATTGAAACCATCTATAAAGTAAGGGGACTGGATTAGTTGTCAGGAACTATTACAGCATATGTAAGTGGAGTGGCTCCTTCATGGAGGAGTCAATTTCCCCTCATTAGAGATTTTCTAACAAAGGCTGTTTAACCACTTCTTGGATACACTGTAATGGGAATTCTTTGTTGGGGTATGCATTGAACTAGATAGATAGGATGCTGTTGGAATTGGTTGCTGAGGTCACTTTAAAGTCTAAAATGCTGTTAAATTCTGTAACTACTTGATTTCTCAGGTCTCACCAGGTCACTTCCAGTTCTAAATCCCATGATTCTAACTTCCTTCACTCACCAATTCCTGGATTTTACTTCAAAATCAAGTTTGATGTTTTTCTTCCTGCAGAGCAGTACCTAGGATATGGCCAAATGAGGCAATTGCCCAGGAGTTGGAGGACTTCTTTGACTTGTGCTGGAGGAGTCTAAAAGACAGTTAGCATCATCACAACAATATGTAACTCCTTGCAACCAAAGCTGCTTCATTGATTGTTTACGGCACTTTTCCCCTGCAATATTTTACCTACTAATTGCCCTTCGTGAGGTTCCCACTGTAGTAACTATGAATAGGCTGATGGACTTGGAGTCAGGAGAACTTCATTTGAATCCCAACTCTGTTAGGAGCTGTGTGACTATGGTCAAGTCAACCTCAGTTTCCTAAACTGTCAGGTAAGGATGTTAATACTTATACTGTCTACCTCACTGGGCAAGGAAAGTATTTTGGAAAATGGAAAGCACTATGTAGATGTGAGTTACTATTAGTATTAAGACTTTCTCTTGTGGCAGCTAGGTGGTGCAATGGATAGAGCTCCGACCTTGCAGTCAGGAAGACCTGAGTTCAATTCCGGCCTCAGACACTTGACACTTACTAGCTGTGTGACCCCGGGCAAGTCACTTAACTCCTCTTGCCTCACCAAAAAGAAAAAATACTTTCTCTGTTCAAAAATATAGGGGAAATTGAAAGTGAAGAGATATTAGGAAAGTGAGAAAACATGTTTCCAAAAGATAGTGGAAAATAATAATAGTTACCATCTATATATGGCTTTATATATGTTATAGAACAATCACTTCCATCAATGAGTTTTAATTTAATTGAAGAAGTAATCATTCTCCTCATCAAGGCCTTGTTCCCATCCCCTCTCATCTTTTCTAGCAGATTGCCTCTTCAATCGTTTCCACTCTTTCTCTAATCTTCAGTATTGTCCTGTCTACTGGATCCTTCCCTGTTACCTACAAACATGTCCAAGTCTCCCATTTTCTTTTTTTCTGTCTTTTTTTTTTTTGGTGAGGCAATTGGGGTTAAGTGACTTGCCCAGAGTCACATAGCTAGTGAGTATTATGTGTCTGAAGCTGCACTTGAACTCAGGTCCTCCTGACTACAGGGCCAGTGCTCTATCCACTGCACCACTTAGATGTCCCCACCCACTTTCTTAAAAAATTCACTAGACCCTTCCGTTCCATCAAGCTATCATGTTATATATCTCCTCTCTTTCATAACCAAGTTCCTAGAAAATGCTGTCTACTTGTTATCTCCTTTCCTCTACTCTTTCTTGCTTTTCGACTCATTATAGTGCTTCTGACCTCATTACTCCACTGAAACAATTTCCTCCAAAGTTAGCAAATCTGATGGCCTTTTCTCAGTCCTTATCCTTCTTAATCTCCTCGGTAGCACCCTGGAACTTTCTTCAATTCCTTGGGCCTTCTCATGCTGGAACTTCCCCCCTCCATGACGACCTCAGTTTCCCATTGGGTAGTTCCTCCTGGGGCCTCCCTTTTGGGGATGGGCCCAGGCCAGCCAACCTTACAGGTTCATTCTCTGACTTTCTGGACTGAAACCATGGCCCCATCCCTTTCTATGCCCCACTTCTCCCCTTTCAGCTCCTTTATGTGTCCTCTTTCTCCATTAGAATGTTAACTACTTAGAATGTTAATTAGAATGTTAACTACTTTTTGCTTGAATTTGCATCTCTAGTACCTAGCATTATGCCTGGTAAATAGTAAACACTAAATAAGCGCTTGTTGCCTTGTTGCCCTAACTACCCTCTCTTCCTAAATAATCTCCCATCTTTGGGTTTTCCTGACACTCTTTTCTCTTGGTCCTCTTCCTCTTACCAGTCTGACTATTACTTCTTAGTATCTTTTTCTTGTTCATCATTCATATCAAATACTCTAAGTATTCCCAAACCAAGGCTCTGTCTCAGGCCCTCTTCAATTCTCTTTACCCTCTCTTGGTAAATATATCAACTCTCATAAATTCAATTAACGTCCCTACACAGATGATTTCCAAATCTTCCAATCCAAATCTCTCTCCTGAACTCCAACTGTCCATTAGATATTTTCATTAATTTCCCATAGGTACCTCAAGCTCAACATATCCAAAAGAGAACTCGTATCTTTCCCCTGAAACCCACTCCTCCTCTGAACTTCCCTATTTCTGCTGAGGGCACCACCCTTCTTCCAGTCACCCCATTTCATAACCTCAGTATCATCTTGAGCTCTTCACTTTCACTCACCCCACATGTCCAAGCAGTTGCTAAATCTTGTCATTTTTATCTTTATAATGATTCTCCTATCTGTCCCCTTCCCTCCACCCATGCAGCCACCACTCGAGTTGAGGCCCTCATCACCTCTCACCTTCCCCCAGCTTCTAGTACCCACTCCCCCAAAATCACCTTGTATTTATTGTTGACATATTTGTAGTTTACATATTGTTTCTTCCAATAGAACATAGTCTCCTTGAGAGCTAGGGCTGTTTTCTTTTTTACCAACACCTAGCACAATGCCTGGAATATAGCTATATATCTTGTGCTTGGTGCTAGAAATACAAAGATGAAATAATCCACAGCTGCTCCCTTCATGGACCTAATAAGTACTTCTCATTCAATATAGAGGTTCAGGCCTCTTAAGAGAGAGAACCTAAACCTTGTTTGTGAGTAGTCCAACACCCCACCTTCATCTACAATCTCTGGAATCCACTTGTAGCCCCCTCTTAAAGGCTGACTTTAAGGCTTAGAGTCTAGTTCCAGTGTATGAATTGACTGCGAATTTCATCATTAATATGATGTCAGTGGGCAAACTGCCCAGGATAAGACAAGTCCATCCATACCTTGTCAGAATTTACTCCTTACCAAGGAGATGCAAGTGAGAGGTTAGGCTTCTCCTAGGCATATACCTGAGCCCACCTGCTGAATTTCCCTATTTTCAGGATGAATCCCAACTGAACTGACTTGCTAATAATTGGCCTCAGAATATTCTTATCTCTGCCCAGTTTGGGTGTCAATTATGAACCAGGCAAGACACACAACTCCATGCTGTGGGTCTTGACTAAACAAGGAAAACGGTGGGTACAATAATAGAAATAGGAAAGTCAGGAAAAAGTCTAGATTTGGAGGAAAAGATCCTCATTTCCTCTTAGACATGTTGAATTTGTCATGCAATCAGGACATTCTGGTGAAGGTGTTTAGTAGACAACTTGAACTCAGGAGAGTTGTCAGGATTAGCCACAGATTTTGGAGTTAATCACATAGAGATAATAGTTGGATGCTTTGGGAGTGGAAGAATATACTGTGACATTGATTGTAAGAAGAATATATGTCCAATATGTGTCAGTAATAATAGGTATAATCAATATAAGTAATATCTATTGAAATGAAATTTAATTTAAGCTTGTGAATCCAAATAACTGTTATCTCTATATTTGCTCCAATCAGTGATAAACCAAAAAGAAAAATATAAAGAAAAAATTACTCATTTTATCTTCACCAGGCTTGTCTCACTCAATCCACCTCTCTCCAGGTGCATCTATGCATTGATTACTTCTCCCACCTGGGTGGAACTGGGTTAATGAGACCAAGATCATGATTTCATATTGTTTAACCTGAAACTGTTTCATGGCCACAAATTGAACTACTTATTGGCATCAACAGTTACCTCAAAAATGCATAGCACTGGCTTTGAAAGAGACTCAATGAACAGTTTAGATGGAGTCATATTATATTCATCAATACTTGTCATTGTGGGACTCTAAAATCTTTGAGCTGGAAGAGACATAGCCAGAGGCATCCTGGTAAATGTTTAATAAATGGTTCTTCAAAGAAAATGTTTGTACAAAATACTTTTAAGTTTAATAGGCATTATTAACATTTTCATCATCACTTTTTTGAATCAAGACAATCAACAAAAGAATAAACTCACAACCAATAAAACAAACCGAACTAATAAAGGCTGATTTGTAGCATTTGCTGGATTTCTAAGGTGTAAATGTTCACATTCTCACAAGCCATTACAGTCAGCTCCAGAACACCATTGGACATATAGATCATCTAGTCCAACAGCTGCATTTTTTTTAAAGTAAACTCAGGGAGGTTGTGGCTTGCTCAAGTTTGCCCAGTTATATAGCAGGGAGAAAAGCAATAAATATTGCCAAAATCAGTGCCCAGCTCTTTCTTCTTCAGCGGAATAGACATTTGAAGGGTCAACCCCTAGCAATTTGAACAACTGGCTAGCTGCTGGGGAGGAAGGAGTGTAGACTGAGAAGAGAGAGAGAGAGAGAGAGAGAGATTGAGAAAGAGAGAGAAGGGAAAGGAAGAGAAGAGAAGAAAAGAAAAGAGAAGAGAATGTGCTGCCATGAGTCCCTAGACCCAGGGTAAAGTATAGACAATGGCAATAGATAAATGGCCTGGGTACTTGGAGAATGAATTAAGGCCACTCACTGAAGCAGTTTGAATGCGGCCCATTTGTAGGGACTCTAGGATTTTAAAATGAGGAGATGATTACTATACGCCATCCATTTCAGTTCCTACATTTGACAACAAAGGATCTTCTAAATGAGCAATTATGTGGTAAATCACTGAGAGGGAAGGGGAGAGGAGAACATTCATGCAAAAGACACGACCAACTGAAATTTATTAAATATTTTCTTCACACCTAGTTTTGAGACAGGAAGAATGCTACAGTCCTCCAAATCTAGGTCCAGAAGGGAGTGGTAATATGGCCACTCCTCCAGATTAGGGTAGTGGTAGTAATACCTCCTCTAATGATGGCTTCCCAGATTTTTCCTTTTGTATAAGAAGGGTCCCATCTCTCACACACATTAAAGATGCTTCTTCTCTTTTAGGGGATTCCAGGGTGGCAACTGGTGAGGAATCCAGGTGGTATCTGTATCCTTTACTTCTATATCTATAAGTTGAAATTTTCTGAGCCTTTTAATTGGTTGCAAGAGTAAAGGAGGAAAAAAAGGTAAATGAGGTAAGAGTCTAACTCTAACTCATCCCTTAGCTGACGTTAGGTCTATTCTCATAGAGAGAGAAGGCTCTGTTCTTCATGGCTCTGGCTAGACTTTTAAGAAACTCTCTTGCACAAATAATCATACAAGGATTATGGGTACAAAAATTTGTTGATGGCCAGAATTTTGAATTTAACTCAATTTTTATGAGCTAGTTACTGATCTCTAATCTTGAGGTTAAGTGAACAAGTTAATATTCACTCAGAGCCTTTTGTTCAGTACATCCTATATTGAGATGTCAGATATTAATGCTCTTTATTTTACAGGCCATATTAAAGAGCTGGTCCTCTTGGAAAGGGAAAGAGAACCATCTACTGGAGGTTGAAGAGAACTATGGAGCAAAGCTGCAGAACTACAGAGTACTAGAAAACAGAGGAGGGCCCCATGAGAAATGACTGCCACCTTGTGGGAGCTGAGAAAAGCTGGAAGAAGCAAAGTAAGAGAAAGTAAAAGACAATGCCAGACATAGGAAAAGGACCCCAAAGGACCATTTCTGCAGGAGCAGAGGGGGACACCAACATGGAGTAACTCTTGATTTGTGTGGAACCCACGCAAGGAATGACTTAGATGATACAGTCCACTTGGGATTTGTCACTGGTGGGTAGTTTTATTTTCACTAAGGAAAATGAGGCCCAGAGAAGTTAAGTGACTTTCTCAAATTTACTTAAGTAGCAATTGGCAGAACCAGGATGTAAGCTCTGGTTCTTTTATTCCAAATCTAAGTCTTTCCACTGACCCAAGTTCTCATGCAAGGACTGCTAGATGCCTTGCTCATATCATTTCTTTCTCTTGGAACATAATATTGTAAAATCACATTGAAAAGTATATTGCCTACAAAAGCTAATGTTACAGAAGAGAAAAACCATTCTGAGATTCACTTGTTTTAGAAATAGCATGTTGTGACTGTGAGAAATTATCTCTACTTATTAGAATGTTTTCTTGTGAAGAACCCAAACTTTCTCCTACCTATGAGCCTTTGATAATTTCAAGGTGAGGTTTAAAGCATTCAAAGTAGAAGTGAATTATTCAGATAAATATGAATCCCAAAGAGCATAATAAAATTATTCTTCTATATGTAGCATTAGGGGCCACAGCCACCTTCCCCCCACCCCACCTTCTCTAGAGAATCAGTATCTGAGTTAAGACCAAAGAGTGAATTTATCTCCAGCTGAAGCTCATCTGTTGGGGGCAGACTGAAGGCCCAAGTTCATATTAATTCTGCTTTTGGGTGTGTGGTCACAAAATATATGAATGTTTCATGATTATGCCCTTAGTTACAAAGAGAGAGAAATGCTCTAACAATAGCCTGGGTTGGGGGTAGTGGCCCTGTGGTAGGAAAGGTAACTCTTTCCTGGGTTACTACACGAGCTGTCCCATTACTCTCTTGCCCAGAACAAAATAATATAAGGAAATATATAGGCTGGGATCAACCACAGGTATTTATGAGAAATAATATTAGATCAGTTTGATGCAGGCTTTAATAGATTAAAGAACCTGCATAGAAATAGGTGCTGGTCACATCCTGATGAAGAAAGGGAAAGGAAGGAGATAAAGACCACCAATTCTCCCATGTACCCAAGGGTCACATAGCTAATAAGTGTCTGAGGCTGGATTTGAACTCAGTGTATAGACTGCTAGACCTCGAGTCAGAAATCCTCTTCTTCCTGAGTTCAAATCTGGCCTCAGACATTTATTTACTAGCTATGTGAACTTGGGCAAGTCACTTAACCCTGTTTGCCTCAGTTTCCTCATCTGTAAAATGAGCTGGAGAAGGAAATAGCAAACCACCCCAATATCTTTGCCAAGAAAACCCCAAATGGGCTCATGAAAAGTCAGACATGACTGAAAATGACCAAAAGACAACAATGACTTTCTCACTCCAAGGCCAGTATTTTATCCATTTCAATACCTAGCTGCCTCATAGGTAGGTGATCACTGTTTCACCTTTATTTTTGATCCCTAATGCTTGGCACACAGTGAATCCTTAATAAGTGTTTTCCATTTCAGTAGAGTGTACACTTTCAGGCACTAATCACCTCTGCTAAGAAGCACTGGAGTGGGGTTGGATCATAGGCCAATGGCATCAAACTGAAACATAACTGGGGGCCACTAGGCATCCCTGTAGGCATACATTGTCCTAGAAAACCAAATACTAACATTTTCTATGCTCTGTTGTATTTTATTTATTTTGTTAAATATTTCCCAATTACATTTTAATCTGGTTCAGACATTGTTGCAGGCTGCATGCTCTGAAGGCTGAGTAGTTAAACACCTCTGACTTAGGCTATAATCTGTAGGCCATGATTTCTTCATCTGTAAAATGAGGTGCTTGACCTAGATTATCTCTAAGGAAACTTCCATCTCTAGAATTCCACAAGTTTATGATGCTCAAGGGCCTTTGACTGGAGAAGTTTAGGTATTAAGGGGTTATGTTTCTAGCATCACCACCCAATTGCTTTGTGATTTTCCAAGTAATCTTTTGCCTCTCTCTGGTCAGTTCTGCCATCTGAAAAGCTGAAATAAAATCACGGACCAAACGGTCCCTTCTGTAATTCTCCTAGTATCCCAGGAGATACTCATGGAATATTCGGGCAAAGCATATGCTTGGAACTGTGGAGAAGGTTTTCATTGGATTGTGATTCTGCATTCCCTTTCTGTACCCCATATGCTAAGGAGACCAATAATTATGCAGGGGGCTGTAACATTGACTGATTTGAGCCCTTGAGGGGAATGCTTATGTGCTTGAGGTAGCCTGACTTTTCAGAGGAGGTTCAGAAATCTCTAGAGACTTTTTTCACTCCAGGTAAATTTGACCTTTAACTTAACTCAAATCTATAATTAACAGTGGCCTCTTTGACTCAAAAATCCTCTGCCCCATCTCAAGGACAAGAAGATCATCAGCTCCTCTTCTAGTGATTTTGCTCCTAAAGGAGGTTCTTGCCACCGACCTGTGCAGATTTTCACATTTCTACCCACTACAACATAACATAAAGCCCTTCTGCAAACTCTGCTCAGCACTCTAATATGTTACAGTAGCTTAAGTGATGGAGTAATGCAAAAGAAAAAAAATCATACACATCTGACTGCTGTAGACTTGTTGACTTCCCCCGGAGAATTCTTTCACTTGTCCTTTAAATTTTCCTTTCTTGTCAAACTTGCAGGTGCAGATAAATGGTGGAATCTTATTTCAATCAGAAAGTGCCAAGAACAAGAAAAGATGGAGAATTTTGATTGTCGAGAGGACAGAGACTCAAACAGCTGGAGGCCCTTCAATTCTCTTTTAGTGTCTATCCATCTAAGGAAAAATGGCATTAAGGATTCCTCTCGATTTGCATGGAGGAAAGGGGAAAATCAGATTGAAATTAAGAGCTATGCTCTCAAAATGACTAAAACCCAGAACAATGCCCACAAAGGAATAAACTGAACTTGAATGTGATATGTATAGCCTTTAATGAAAGGCCAACTGGACCCAACTGAAGAAGTCAGAAGAGGGATGAAGGCTAAAAAACAGCTTTTCCATTCAGGACATGTGCAATTTAGGACAGCACAAAGTAAAGCTGGAGGTGGTTGGGGTTTTTTTGTGGGGGGTTTTTTCTGCTGTTTCTACTTGTTTTCTAGCTTAGAGTTAGGCTCTGGGGACTTCTATCCCAGTCGGACTTGCTCTTTTTCAGACTAAATAAATTACTAGCTAAAAACACGATTCTAAAACAAACTCAGGAAAACATAAAAGCCCTTTAAAAGTTCCTGGCACATAGTAGGCATTCAATATGCTGATGAATAGGTATCTCTTGTGCTTATGCCAGAGAATTAATAGTACTGTAATTCCTGAAGATTCTATTCTTCTTTAAAGATACAGGAATAGCATCCATAGCCTCCGTGGAAGAGGCTTTTGAAGCCAGTTTTACAATACTAATAACTTGACATCTGTAAGGCACTTAAAGTTTGCCTAGAGTCCTTTATATACTTTAGCTTGTTACATTGCATTTTCTGCAATCAATTAATAAATATTTATTAAGCACCTACTATGTGCCGGGCACTGTGCTAAGCCCTGCACCAGCCTGTGCTTAGCATCACACATTTAGAACTGGAAAGAGACATTTAATTCAGTCCCTTCATTTTATAGATGAGAAAACTGAGGCCCATAGAGATTAAGTGACTTGCCGGAGGTCACAGACATGGTAAGTAGCAGAGCAAGGGTTTGAACGTGAGCCCTCTGGCTCCAGCGTACTTTCCTCTTCCAGCCCTGCCTCCTCGGTTCTGACCCCAGACCTTAATGTCCCTAAGGCTTCAAGGGGTTCGTTCCTTCATTCCCTAGCCATTGCTGCCAGCTCCGAGCCCTGGGTCCTCCCCTTTCCCCTTTAAAATCACATAGGTGATTTTAAAAAATCAGGCAACAATTCTTTCCTGTAGCTTAGCCAATATGGTACTGGGCCCAGATAAGATGATGAAACCCAAGACATTGGCAGCCTCCATATTCTCTTTTTTCAGCCCAACCAGGACAGTCTAGGCCAGGGGTGGGGAACCTGTTGCTTCAAGGCTACATGTGGCCTTCTAGGTCCTTGGGTGCGACCTTTTGACTGAGTCCAAGTTTTACAGAACAAATCCTTTTATTAAGGGGATTTGTTCAGTGAAGTTTGGCTTCAGTCAAAGGGCCACACTTGAGAACCTAGAGGGCCACATGTGGCCTGGAGGCCGCAGATTCCTCATCCCTGGTCTAGGCCGTAAGCCATCACTCTTGCCAGCTCACCACAGCCTCCAACCCTTGGACAGGCCAAGCATGATAGCCCCAAATCTCAGGATCTATGCTTCAGTTCCCTGCTTTCCTTTATATGTAAACATGCCTCCTTCCAAAAAGATTCATTTTGTGTAGAAGTGACCTGTTTGATTTGGTCTCAAAGGCCATAAACCTATAGGTGTTCTCATGAAAACCTATAGTAGGCCTTGGTTTTCTTCCTTAACACGCATTCCTAGAAACACACTGTTCTGTTCCTGTAGCATAAAGACCTTGAAGGAGAGTGGGACAAAGAAAGGGGAAAGCATCTTCAGGAAGCAAACAGGAACTGGAGAGTACATGTTCTGCCAACAGATTTTTACACATTCTGTATATAAGGACAAAGGAACCTAGGGTCAGGTACCAAAGACCCAGGACTCACACTTTTAGAAGTGGCCTTCCCTCCTTTTTAATCCACTTATTCTGTTTGCATTTGGTGAGTGCTCTGCAGGCTTTTACAATTTCTGCTCCAGCTTCTTTTAGGATGAAAATCAGACTAAGGACCTTCATTTTCAAGTGTCTGGAAAAGCAATGATGCCCCCTTTTGACAACTCTAAATATTTCTCCCGAATTACCAGAAGAGGGAGCAATAGGTATGTTTTCCTTTTTTACAAAAAAAAAAAAGTTGGGAGAATCATTATTTGCATAACAAGAATTCTTCAGTTAATCAGCGAGCATTTATTAGTAAGAATTATCTCCCCTAAAAGACTAGACTTGAAGCCCTGGATTTAAAACCACATAAAGACTTTGGCAAGTTACTCCATATACAATTAAGCAAAGACGAGTCAGTTGGTTCAAATAATACTAAAAACGAAATGTGAATTGACATATCAGAAAAGGGAACTGGGAAGTGTGGCTGCCCTAAAAGGATGTTCAGTCAGTCAACAAAGATTTACTGGATGCCTTCTATGTGCCAGGTACTGTGCTAAGTGTTAGGGATACAAAAAAGCATAAAAGACCTGCTCTCAAGGAGATCACAGTACTCCTATTCTTTCCTCTTGGTTCGTTGACCCTGTCCTCTATCTGCTGTGCGCACAGAAAGAACGAAAAGGTGTGGGTAATGAAGATGGCAGTCCATCTAAGATTGAGTAAATAAATTATAAAGAATCACACAGAGACCTGGCCCCTTCCTAAGGTTCTGGTTCTCTAAACCCTGCCTCCACCCACCCTGATCGGTCCACACCAGCCTGTTGGTTGTTCTTCATGCACAGATGTGCCTGGAACACTTCCCCTCCTCACTCCCATCTCTGAGTTTCCCTGGCTTCCTTTAAGATTCAGCTCAAATCCCAACTTTATGTGTTGTCTCCTTTAGAATGTGAGCTCCTAGGGACAGCTGGGTGGTGCAGTGGATAGAGCACTGGCCCTGAATTCAGAAGGACCTGCGTTCAAATCCGGCCTCAGACACATAACACTTACTAGCTGTGTGACCCTGGGCAAGTCACTTAACTCCATTGCCTAGCCAAAAAAAATATATATGAGCTCCTGAAAACTATTTTTGCCTGGCCTTGTCTGAACAGCACTTTTCATGGTACCTAGCTGAAGGTGAGCCCTTGACAAATGCTTGTTGACTGACTTACCCCAGGTTATGCAACTAGTGTCAGAGAAGAGATTTGAACCCATATCTCACTTAGGCCTTATGCTGTGCTCTCTCATGTTGCCACAGTTACACCACTACTGTAAATCTAGAAAAGTATTCTCAGGTCAAACTTCTCTGAAAGTTTAGTGTGGGTAGCAAGAGAGAACAGAGAGGGGTCCTACTGTGTGCAAATCTGACTCCATATACCCTTTAAAAATTAGTTTTTTCTTCCTGATGACAAAACCTGCATCCATCCGAGCTATTTCTCAAGATAGTGTATATTTCTTTTATAAAAGTTGTGATTTCCAGTATAAGTGGTGCAATGGATAGAGTGCCAGGCCTGGAGTCAAGAAGACTCATCTTTCTGAGTTCAAATCTGGCTTCATAAACTTACTAGCTGTGTGACCCTGAGCAAGTCACTTAACTCCGTTTGCTTCAGTTTCCTCATCTGTAAAATGAACTGGAGAAGGAAATGGCAAACCACTTCTGTATTTTTGCCAAGAAAACCCCAGAAATGGGGTCATGAAGAGTAGGACACAACAGGAAATGACTGAACAACAAAAATGCTCATTACATTGTTACCCCTCCCTTTTTTTTTTTAACCTCAAATGATTAAAACTTGATGTATATTTAAGGAGATGAGAACTATGTGACTGGTCTTTTGTTGGTTTAATTTTCTAGCTCCTAGGTCTCTGAGTGTGTTTCCAGAATCTATACACATATTTTATCTCCTAGTGGGATCTATCTTTAAGGACCTATTCTCCTATAATCACCCCATTTTCAAGAAACTGACTTGACATTTAGTCACAAAGCTCTCATTAAAGTCAAATTTTCACAGCTGAGGGTATCACGGAACGCTTAATTACTTTTGCAACATTGGAGGAAAAAAGTTAGGGCTGCATTTACATGACCAGCTTTTCTTTTCTCACAATGTAACTGAAGATGTATCCGCTCATCTACTTCTCAAGCGCTGCACTGGCAAGCCCGCATTTCTGTGTAATATATATTAGTATATCATTCACTATTAGCAGCAACCTTGACAATTTGGAAATTATGCCTCTCACAGTGTTATATATAGTCTCTCTTCTGAGCAAGAAACAAACCAAACCAAAAATAATAGCCAAATCCCACGTCCTTGCTGTCACTTATCCAGACAGAGTGACATTATGACACCCCAGGGTCCCACAGATCTCCTATGAGTTTGTGTGGATTCCTGCCATGGGCTGTGCCCACACAACTATTAAATGCAATTCACTGAAAGAAAGTCCATTTAAACCTTTATCTAGCGGCATGTTTAAGGCTGTCAGAGAGTGTTCAGGAACCAAACCCAGGTCAGACTAGTGAAAAGATTCCAGTAGATGGTCATTACAGACAGAGATTTTTTTGCTTTGCAAATGGACTCAGAAACAATGGAGTCATTGTGATCACAAATAGCGCATGGTCTCCCTATATCCCCAAGCCCAAAGGTCAGTGAGTGACTAAAGGGTAAATGCAACCTCTAATTAGGATGCTGCCAAGGACTCTGGTGGGTGGGTGTCACCTGTTCTTTGCAGGTGTCAGATATTCGACAGGATTTGATAGAAAGATTGCTTATCCCTCGACTCTTGGAACTGTTTTTTTCAATGTCTGGATATTCTACCAGTTCACATAGCTTGCGGGCACCCAATAAGTATGCTTGACAGACAGACTGGCTGGCAGTATTGTAATGGTAGGACAACTTGCTAAGTCAATCAGCAGATTTCATCATGTCACAAAGAGCCTTCAGCAACTCATTGCAGGAGTGGGCAAGTCTTTGGGGGCTCTTGCCCTGATATTCAGACATAGGTACTCTTCCCAGGTTACTTGCTAGATCAAATGGGTCTTAGCAATTTAAGACCATAGGTTGAACTAGGTACACAGATCCTGGAACCCTACACTGAGGCCATGGGGCTCCTTGTCTGGGTTCTGACAGTGTTTCCATACAGCTGGTTCTGGTTCCAGCTTTTAGTCTTCCTGCTGTGGTCCTTCCCTCTCCCATCACAAAAAAAATGGATTTTTGGATACCAGTTGTGTTACTACTATTGAGCATACATAAAGACTCCTCCAGAACTAAGAGATGAACATACAGACGCCACCTTCTCTGACTTGCTCTTCACATCATGATTACATTCCATATGTTGATGTCATTTGTGGCTTCATACCATACAAGGCCAGAATTAGGCAAAGTTGTGAAATAGGTGGTATTTGTCTTGGGCGCCCCCAGACTGTTCTACTGAGAAGAGCCGTGCCCTAATCCCTCTATTAGCTCTTTTCAACTTACTTCCTTACATTCTTCTACCTCTATATTCTTCTATCCTTCCTTCTTTCCATC